TTCTAAAGTAAAGCGATACGTTTGACAAACTAAGCATAATTTACAAACATGACGTTATCGACATTACTGATCCCAGCAGTATGTAGGACGCGTGTCATATGAACTTCGTAATAGACCTCGCGCACATTAGCGTCTCTGGGGCTCCGGAGGTCTTAGGTTCGATTCCTCATGGGGACTCGGAACTTTTTTTTTGTCCCACGCTCGTGACAGGACGAAAAACATCTTTTTCTAGGTGTAATTTATTCGTAATCTAATTGCGGCAAACATAAGGTCCTAAAGGAGCAAGGTGAAAGCAATTAAAGTGAATAATTACTGTGGGAAAATTTTTAACCATAGGCCACCTGTGAGCTTGTTAGCAAGTAACTTAACTCAGCCTCTGGCTTTTCTAGTCTCTTCTCTTGATATCGGCGAACACATCTAATTCCACCATAGCTGTTAAGTTGTCCCCTTTTTCTAAGCTATTATGAAAGTTTGAATATTTCAAATGAAGGGTGCCTTTATTACTTTATTTTGCTTTGACATAATTTGAAAATGAGTCTGTGTTGCAACAAGACTTTCAAAGCACCACACGGAGTCATTCAAAAAGCATTCAGCAGCCCGGCTCTAAGTTAATTTAGTCTGTATATTCGCGAATGCATATTTCGCACTACTTGACAAGCTTGGATGTTCAGCGGACCGCGGAACCTGCGGAACCCTATGTTCTTTTGTAAAATGATAGTAATGAAATAAAACATAAAACTAAAAAGATCTTAAAACTGTTCGAAAGTTCGTCTTCGGGTATAAAGAAGATCACTTTAAATGAAAAATATGTTTTAGTTGTCCTTGACGTCCAACTTTAACTTTGGCGGCATTCACCGTACAAGGGCCCGGTGTGTAATGTCATAAGGAGCAAATAGCAGTCACCTACCCCGAGTGTTAATAATTGAACCATAACGAATTAGTTGCCAATAATCAGAGCCCTTTACTAAGCGTAATGGGTTCTGAGATCGCCACGGGGCAAACATTGCAAGTTGCTAAAAAGAAATCTATGGCGGAAAGTCATTTCAGAGTCCAAAAAAAAGATCTTTGAGAGAATTCAGTACTTTTTTGCAGCCGTTTTATCAGAAAAGGATTAAAGCAATGTTTATACGTGGGAAGTGTAAGTTTTTGTCTAAATAACCATGAAATATGCGTTAAAATCTACCGGTAAAGTTCTCTCCTTGCGTAAGGTTTATTGTGAAATCGACATCTCGTAATGGTCTTGAAATATATCGAAATTAAGCAATACTCGCAAGTATGTAACCAATTCAACCTTTTTCAGTTGTATATAAGTGTGTGCAGTCTACTTCTGGCTTATTTCTGAGCTCGTAAACACAAATATTATTGGAAATATGCCTCGTGGCGATCATTGTGCTGTGTGAGGTTTTAACAGCGATCGAAGGTACCCAGAAAAGCAAAGTATTCTTTATCACCTTGGAATATTAAGATTCTACTACCCCCAGAGTATGAAAGATGTCTTGTCGTGGGCTAGATCTATTAATTGTGACCACTTCAGGGTAACAATGAGTACGAAGGTCTGTTCAAATCATTTTGCACGAGGTTATAGAACTTAACGTTGTATATGCAAGGTTACGAATGTGAGAATAAAACTAAAAGACCTCCCCTCAAATCCGACCTACACAGATCAAAATAAGGTGGTCAAGGGAGAGAAAGCGAACTAGTAACGAAAATGAAGTTCTAGTTGAAAATGAGGCCCATTTGTAGGACAAGAATTTATCAAAAGAAAACAGTAAATTAGATTATGTAGCCTCGGCTTCCCTGCAAATGCTGAAGCTAGTTTTCTTGCTAAATTAGTTACACAGACAGTGTGTCCAAGTAAAGTGAATAAGAAGAGACAATATTTCATTGACCAGGCAACTTTTTCTAAGAACTGTTATCGTTACACACGTGCAAATACGTCTAGGCTTGATTTAGTTTTTGAATTTTTAGACCAAAAGCTCACTGAAATACGGCTCTGGCTGGTAGTAAGAACACCAAAATTTCATCAAATTTCTCACCTTAGTGAGGACAAGAGAAGGAGTCGATGTCAATTTCCTAGCTTTTTTTTGGCTTTAATTCGTCTCAAGTATCCAGGATTTACATTATATGGATAACACTTCTTTCTCAAGCCAGAATTACAAAAATATCTTTTTAAGAATGTAAGAATAATAATTGACTGTCTTGAACTTTACATACAAAAACCAAAGATCACATGGAGTCATGAGAAACACTGAAACACTGTCAAATTATTCGTAGGAATATTACCAACTAGTGTTGTACCCTTCATTCCACCATTATGGACAGGATCTATCAGTGACAAAGAAATTGTTAGGCAAAATGAACGGAGAGCTATAATGGTTTGGGTACTATGATATTCGATATTTGACGCTTTTAGCGTATGAATTTAGTGCTGTGGGTCAATTTTTCTATACACTTTTTAAGAAGCAGCGTGGTTTTTTTCCCTGTAAAGCTAACCATTTTTCGTTTATTGTGAGTTTATTTGTAAGTTTTCGTTCTTCAGTATGTGTTTTTCTTCTCGTGTTTAGTACCATAGGCGTTTGGTTTTTTTTAAATACATGATAATCACAATTATGCGTGACTTCGGTTAGATACCTGTAGAATTTCGAGTTGATCGGGACGTTCACAGCATTTTGCTTCCAGTGGATTCGTTTGGTTGGCCCTTCTCACAGACATCTAGGAAAAGATTATGTAGAGGGCTAAGCAGATGAACTAAATGCGAGTTAAATTTCCCCAAATCAGCTCAAGAAATTCACACGATGCAAAAGAACAAGCACTTGAGTGGCGTAAATTGATCCTTATTCAAAACTAGGCCAGATCTTTTGCAGGTTGAGAATGTTCATTTCCGTTCAAATCCTAATATTTCACCTGCTGTGCAGCATGAACATATTTGCATATTCACAAAGGCTCACGTACGTGCGAGCTTGAGTGTTCTGTGGTTGGACGTCAAGGTAAATAAAAATAAACAACATTTCTCTTTTAACGTTATTTACTTTTTACCCGATAAGGAAATTTCGAACAGTGTTAAGGTATTTTTCGCTTTTAGTTTATTTCATTATCATTTTTGTTACAAAAAACTAATGGTTCCCCAAGTTTCGCTGGTACCGGAGGTTCCAGAGCTTCCGCGGTCTGCTGATCCACACTCTAGTAACACCCGACAAGCTTTCGGTTCTACAAAGGTTCCAATCTAGACCGAAACATCCGTTCTTAAAAAAAGAAGATACTTTATAACTTCAATTGCTTCACCAACGTCGTTTGCCTTATTAAGAAAAGTATTGCTTAGTATCTGCAGAATCTCTGTTAACGACTTGTTTATTTAATAATTGGCCATTTTAAAATTCCAATGAAACATCTTCCTTTCAAAGGAAGGCTAAGTTCAAGGACCTGTCTCCGGAAAGTCTATCTAATATGCACGAAAATGAACAAATTGTTATTTAAACAAAGGCATCTTCCTTTCAAAGGAAGGCTAAGTTCAAGGACCTGTCTCCGGAAAGTCTATCTAATATGCATGAAAATAAACAAATTGTTATTTAAACAAAGGCATGGCACTTTACCTAACACTCTATTTTGTTTTTGTTGACGGTATGGCTGTGATTTTTTTTTCTTGTCGAGAATGCAGCCACGTTTCACATTGGGCCGCAATCACGGAATGGTTATTTAGTAAACTTATGGAAAAACTTTTTAGGGAGTCGTTTATTCCAGAAAGGAGAAAATTTCAGATAGTAATATGGTTCTTGGTATGTTCAATTGGTATGTTCCTCGTCGGGTCTTCTGCTATTTTCTCCTATGTAACCGACTCAAACTGGTGCCACATGTAAGCTACGAAATTTAAAACATGGAATCGCATCTATTTTTTATTTTTAATTGGAAGTATGTTCCAAAATCCAGTGTCTTTGCAGTGTATTATTTTCATTTTTTTTTCATCAATGAGACACTGCAATTAATTTGGTCCACTAATTAAATGATACATGATGCTTCGTCCCTCTTCTACTCTAACAAATGGTTTTCAACTACGACTTCTACCAGGTTTCGTTTCGATGTAGTACCAAAATAAAAGAGGTATTGTGATTTTTTCAGCTGTCTGTCTATTTGTGGCATTAAGAAGGACTGTTCTTACATAAGTTTGCTCTAGCTATCTATTTTTAGCAACTGCTCCAGGCCCGAAAAGCACGCTTTCTTGTTAAGCCTGTATAATGAATTGGCCGATTACTCGAGAGAAAATTTTCAGGAGTAGCGTTTTTTGATTATTTAATCATTTCTTAATTGGATAAACGACAAACCCCTTTAACTACGGAATTTAAAACCATCTGCACGGCTTTTTCACTTCCTTTTTGAAACTTATCTCCTCTTTATACGGCGAAACTTTTCAGCATTTTTTGACAATCCCAAATTTCAAGTCATGGTATATTCTGCAATATCAATTTTCATTTCTCTATCAGCTGTTCGTGAATTATAAAACTGTATTACTTTCGGAAAAATCTAGTCTAGAAATTACGTAATGGAATTTCCTTGAAGGCAGGGAAGTGAATAGGAATAAAAAAAGGTTTTTTGTTTCTAGAAGGGAACAGTGGTCCTTTTGTTCAATTTACCTGCTGTCTTGAACAATCACGAGAAGTTGGAAAGGTAAGATGACATTACAATTCTGTTGAAATTGATTCTAGAAAACCCACATCTTTAAACAAATCATTTTCGTACTCGTTTACTATCGTGCCGTGATTTTCAGAAAGTTCATGAAAATAACAGTTACCTTGGCAGCAGATAGTTAGAAAATTGCTCCCTGTCAATGACTACAGTGAATACCTCAACCATAAAGACCATCTTTTATTCTCAGATGTCACGGTCCAGGGTCCGTTCAGTGGAGACACTAGGTCTCCACATTTTTGTTTTCGAGTTGGTGATAAGATCGATCAAGCTGTCGTGCGTCATTTACAGCCAAGCTCTGAGACGGGTAGCTGTAACTTGTCGATAGCAGACCTTGCATCTATTACTGTTCAGTTTTTTTATCTTACGAACTTCTCCTTTCAAAAGCAGTTTCTAGGAGAAGTGAATTTCCAAGCTTTGGTAAGTCTTTCTTCTTTGCTATTTTTGCGGCTTGCTCAACCAAGAAAAGTGCGAGCACAATTGGTTTTAGAGGCGAAGGGTACTAAATATGGCGTGGCTTCTGCAGTTATTCTAGATTTCTTCCATCTCGTCAGCGATGATTTTAGAGTAGGGAAATTAAATGAATCTAATTTTGTTTTCAAACTTTTGCAACCTGACGATTGTTTGGTTCTTCCGTTGAGATAAACTGTGACCAAGATTTCGGTGTCCAGATTGACTGATTTTGGAGCAAATACTATTATCCACGCATTATCGCTAGAAATTATGGAAGCGGGGAATGAAACTTTTCTTCGGATTAAAATATCTTCCCCATAAAAGGACATAAATTCGCAAAGCTGGAAGAAAGAGCAACTAATGAGACAGTTTAATATTTTGCTTCCTTTTCCGAGCCAAAAGACCTGCCGCTTAATCATTTTTTATTTCGGTTTCGTTCAGCATGAAAGGAATTTTGATCAAATGCATGGAATGTTCGAAGAGCGCACACGAGATTGATCGAAAGATCGAAATGAGTCTACAAGCAGCTGTTCATTGTTATTTGTAAAGCTGGGTGGGGTCTCTGGGCTTCTATCAAAGACAAAGAATGGCAAGGAAAGAGAATAAGGCTTTTATCTCACGACATGTTTGCGCTGGGAAAACTTTAGGTATTTCCCTTCTAAACAACATATTAGTGAACATAATATAGAACAGTTTCGATGGTGTTTTTCTGCCATGTCCAGCAGTTCACCTTTTTGGTACCAGACTAGGTTGAGGAAGAAATTGCCTCGGTGCCTATAGGTTTTCCTTTCTAGGATAAGAGATGAGTTCACAAGGGTAACCTAAATTGATACACCTGTTGATGTTCCATGACATTCACGGTCATGAATATCATGGCACTAGATAAAGGGATAAGCGCTTGGTTCACCAAGGAAGCCATTTTAGGAAGGGTCATTGGGATTTTCGGTTTTGCGGTTTTAGATCTGTTTTTCTGTTTCTGTGCCAGAAATGCAGCGGTCGTTATCCTTAAAGTTAAATTATGGTTTATGAGCTGAGACTTTACATTTCCTTGACATTCAAGACAACAAAATATGCGAGGTAACAACAAAATGGGAATGATGCTACAAAATTATGTTCCAATGATTGGAGACGTTTCGCAAACCAAACACTGTACATCACCCTATACTAGAAAACATCTTATGCTCAACAGTTTCAATTATTTTTTTATTGATCTTGGTTTCTTGCTATGTCGCATGAGTTCAAATGCTTTTCAGAAAAAACAACTTGTTACCAGTAGTTTAAGGCACTGATCGATTCGGTTCCTGATGAAGATGTTCTGTTCACTTTGTTGATCATTTTTGTGAAGGGTAAAAAAACCAGAACGTTAACCCTAATCAGTTGCAGAGACGAGAGAGATCTTTTAAATAAATGCAGTTATGCATGGGAAATAATATTCACGAATTTGTGTGTTTGTTCGATTTAAAGTGCGGAGTTAGAGCCCTTAGTTGAAACATACTTTTCCCTTCTTTTTTCATAGAATCATCTGCGGATTGATATCCGCATTAAATAATTTTATCTTCCCATTCTTTCCCAATTTTTCCAGGTAGAAAGAGACGTAAAGATAAATGAGAAACAAAGACCACCGGTTTTATGATGGTTTTATCTTTTTCAGGAAATCAATTCCACAAGAGTTCCCCTGAAAACCCATTAATAAGTGAGAAAAAATGAAGCAACCACCTTGTTTGCCGATCATTGTCGTCCTTCTTGCGATTTATTCTGCGCCTTGTAAGTTCACCTTCGTATGTCATCCTCATTACATTTAATGTTTACGACAATTTTTGGCTAAAGGAAGTTCAGCGGCTTTCCATGCTCATCGAAACATTATGAAGACACCTTGATGGTTTAAGTTATTTATTTATCGGCTAACATCAGCTTTTCCTTAAAAACGAAGTTAAAAAATATTTATAAATGTTTCCGAGTAAAGGACGATTAAGATATATTGTTTCAGTATGTTTTTTTAGCTACAGAAATTGAAAATAATTTTCAATTGAAAATTGAAATAGCTACAGAAATTGAACGATCTCATCCTTCTCGTCTCCATAACCCAATACATTTTAGTGATTAATAAGCCGATTGACTCAGAACTAACTGACTCACTTTCATTTCATTATGTAAAAAGCCCTGTTAATTTTTTAACAGCTTATGAACAAGAGACAACTACCATTGAAGGCATTAACTGCGGAGACGGCTCAGATATCGAGTTTACACTCGTCATCCCTGATTTCGATAAGTGGAGTGACGCCGATGCAGCCACATGGGAGTTGAAACATAGCGGCCTGGCTCCGAACACGGACTGTCAGCCATCATTTACATCTGTAGCAGGCAAAGTGAAATATGGTGTGTTCAGCGCCGATGTTTGCATGAACTCATTGACAGAGAACGCCGACGGAATTACTTTGGACTACGAGTTTAAGATCGAAGTTAGTGCCTCTGGTAGTCCGACTTTTCAGTATGACCACGATTACACGATAACATGTACATATAACAGGGAAAAACAGGGTCTTCAGGCCAGCTTCCTACCTCAACATTCAATCACTGAAACTGGCACCGGTAAGTAGGGATGATTAACAGCTTACGATAAAGTTATTACCGATTGGGCAAAGTAGTGCGTTTCCTGCTGACAGCTCAGTGATCTGTTATGTCACTTGGAATGACAATTTCACAAAATTCGATCGCATTAACCTTATTTCGCAATGACATGTCGCAGTTTATTTTTCTTGGGTATATCTTTTGTCTCATTTATAAAACAGAATGAAAAATTTTAAAGGTTTGTAAGAACGTGAAGAGCATATATTCACTGCGAGGTCTCAACTGGCATTAGTACAGCATGATGCATATGATACTCTTTCTCCAAGGTGTTGTGTTGAAAAGGTTTGATAAATTCACAGATCATGTCAAAGACGAGGGTTATATTCGAAAAAAAACCAAAAAAAACGGCAGTGGCAGTTAGATCAGACTATGGTGCGACGAATGTCGAAAGAAAAAAAGAAAGAAAAAGATAAGCAAAATGAAACATTTTAAAGGTTTGTAAAAGAGCATATATATTTCATTAGGATGTCTCAAAACCTGACGTTAGTACAGCGTGATGTATAAATTATCCTCATAAAGCGTCTAAAAAGTAACGAAATGTCAGATCGCAAGTCAGTAGGTGTATAAAGTCTATGTTAATTTGAGTTTCAGTTCAAGAATTTTATGGTTTTGACAGCTTAGTTTAGATACTCAGTCAAAAACTGTTTTTTTAGTGAAAATTTTCTTCTTTTATAGAGGATTCATCTATAAACGTCCTCCGCGTTTTGCTGTTTAATATTTTCCAGATAGTGGTGAGCTGATTTTCAATTTTATATTATTGGAGGGCAGCACCCCAGTAGGCCCTGACATTGCTTTGGGGACAGACCTTATCGGAAAATTGACGGTTTCAGAATCTGGTTTTCCAACCAATACGTTTACCGTTTTTTCGTATCCGTCACGGCAGACAAAGAAAGCCCCGATAACCTGCCGGTACCGATCACTTTGATTACGAATGGGTAAGTTCCAAACTTTTATCTATAGCCATTAAAAGCAGTTTCTTTATTAACAACACTCACATACATACTGATGTAAGTTTTAGCTCGTTTTCATCGATAATTTGAGTAGCTTTGCTTTATTTTTTCGGTTATCATATCAGAATTAATCTCCTTTTATTCATGAGTATAAATATTCTTAAATGTTCAAGATATTCTACTCAACTCATGACTCTTTAACTTTTTGAAACCATAACTGGTAAGTGTGTAAACTGGTCCGTTTCTTTGCCCGAACATGCAAAACTGTTTATCAGAATATGTGTGTCCGTGACGTGTAGATGACTCAAAATGAGAATAGAATAACCATATAAGGAGGTTGTTAGCACGTGTTCGCTGTGAATAGAGATTAAAAGAAACAAACTGACCACAGCTTCAATGAAGGTTGTCCATAATAGCGAATTCGGTAAGCAGGGAAGTTGAGTCGCAAATAATTCCCTATTCACACTAAAGCACTTCAGGATAGAAAAGGTATTATGAAATGATGCTTAAGTTGGTTACAAATTGATTTCTGAATGATTTACTAAAGAGAGGTTTCGATTTACATTCAGCTGTGCGGAAAACGACCAAACATCCTTCGTGGATGACTCTTCCTGTGATGGTGGTAATGAAGAGGAATTTTCATTTAAAGCTTTTCGTTTCTCTGGTCAAACGGGGAGTCAAAAAGTTGTATTTACCGTCACAGCCAAAGTTTGTTATGACGGTTCTTCTGGGTGCGATTGCAATTGTGGTTCTCTAAAAAGACGTAGTACTTTAGACGAGACCTCGAAAACCTTATACTACATTAGAGCTGGTCCTTTCACGTTTGTAGATGCTGATGAAGGGGAAGAGCAAGGTTTGTATCTACTCCTCTGTTCAATGAATTCGTTATCATGATTTGGGCTATCATGGCAAACGAAACATCAGCATTTCATTTAATGACGCAATTAATTTGGCTTCAATATTTAATGAAAATAGTAATAAACCTCCCTTTTCGAACTAAGAAAATCGACTAATTTCTCGTATTTAACAAAAAGTATTGAACTTAATTGTTTTAATCGGAGTTTTATTCTGTATCATCAGCTGACACCGTTGTTGATGAGGATAAAGACTCGTCTTTTCCTAACCATGTTGTCACTGTTGGGGTGGTCGGTGGAGTCGTGGCTGTCGCCATTGTTTGTGTCGCTGTCATCATTGTGCTGCGCAAGCGTTGCCATAATGTAACACTGAATGAATCAAGTGGCGCTCAAGAATTCGCTACTCCAGGCGTGTGAGTTTTTTGCGACAGGAATGCCTCCTAATATGGCATTATTTACTCACGTAGACAATGAAGAACTAGTTTTTCTTGATAGCTTTTCGGTTTTGTAATCTCGTAGATGAAAATATATGAATAATGCTGGGACGTTTTTTAGAAGAATTCGATACACTACTCCAAAAACACTGAAAGATTTAGAGAGATGGTGATATCAAAATCCGAACTTTTGACCGGGCCTGTTGACGCAGGAGAAGAAACAAAATATAGGTGGAGCCTATAATTTTTTATCTTTTGATACAAGTCATTTGCATCATTTGCTTGAACAAAGACCATGAAGGAGTTAAAAAGTAAGTCTCAATTGTTGCAAAACTGTTACAAGCAACAGTTCTTAAAACAATTCCAAAAATAGAAGGCAAAGGTTAGGACCTAAGAGACAGTTTTGTATTTTTTCTCGTACGATTTATCAATAGGACTGGAAACCATATTTCAGAAAGCACAGGGAGAAACAACTTGTACTGCAGTTTTGATTTTTTTTCGCAATCATTAAAACATTCGGTCATCAGTCTGTTTAACTGATTGATCCTCTTATGTTTTGCGATCGCTTGAGTTTCTGAATCTTGAATCCACTGAATATTGATTCTAGCTTCTAGGTTACGTCATTGGCTAATTGAAACACTTCATTTTTCCACTGAGTGTTTCATGAATTACTAAGCATCATATTGTATTTCCTAAATTTTAGAGCAAGTGATTATTTTTGTAGTGAATAATAGCGGCTTTTCAACATTAGCGATCAAAAACTTGTTTTTTGAGTCATAGTTTATAATGGTTCTGGTTAAAAAAGCTGACAAAAATAAAAGATGGAAAGCAAAGGTTACTCTAGGTAAAGATCAAAACTCTCTTGGGGAGTTCATCTTTCCCACGAGGAGTTGGATCTTAATACATAAATATTCGTATTCTTAGGTTTTTGGGTAAATATTCAGCAGTGCACTTCCTATGTAACCTACAATTAAAATTTTAAATGAATAAATAGTTTATTCAAGGCACTTAAAGATATTTGGATTCTTTGTTTAATTGATGGGAAAATTTCAGAGTCATACATTAGCCTTGACCATTACCTGGCTCTACATTTGCTGGTATAATCTTTGGTTGTTGAATTTATAGAATCATCACACCAAAGCGGAACGTCTGGATCAATTGAGTTAGGGACCTTCTTAGATTCACGTTTACGCTTGATATTAACGAGGTTTACTTTTATCCTGTAGCGATAATTTTGGTTTACCAATTATCCTCTTTAATTTGAAAAATTAAAAAAAAAAATTCAACGGAGGGAAAACAAGATGTAGCGTGATGCGTGAACGAAGCCCATTTCTCGAGGATGCAAATTATGAACCTGGAAGCAACGACTAGAGGAACGTTTTTGTCGTCTAAACTAACGTGATTTTTCCACAAATTATACATCATATTGTTTCATATGCTCGAGACTTTATACCTATGAAGTTCTTTTTCAAGTGTTACTCTAGGAATCCTTGCTTCAGCTACCGCAAAATGTACCACGAACGATGAAATGACGCGCGTGATTAGTGTCAGTACAAGGATAAATGAGGTAAGTTTACCCATTCATATCTCTGAAACAAGCACGGTGACCTATCTTTTTTATTGTATTTTTCAAAACAGACATTGCTGAGGAACATGTAAGGAAAAATTTTAAAAAAATTGTCCGATAACTCTTTTTTCCGAGGAGTCATCTTAATTGAGCTTTCTGTGAAAAATTTGACATCATCATTTTCCCGACATACCCCTCTTCATTCTGATGAAATTGTACTAATTTAAAAAGAGCCAGAGTCTCCCTTGCGGAAGGATTCGTGCTTCAGAAGTTCGCTCCACCAGGAAGCCACCCAATGTTTGATAATGTGAAAAGTTATGCATGTACCAGGTTGGAATGTGACAAAATCCCTTCATTCTGTCAGTATAGGATTAGCAATTTAGTGAGCGCCTCGTGTATAAAAAGAAGGAAAAGAAGATAGATGTTGAGCTCCTTCGTCGCACATCGAAAGCTTGTATTCGTTTTGTTTTCGAGCTATAATGCTACTGATGCATCTGATAGAAGTTGTGAGAATATCTTTTCAGTTCACAAGCTATCCTGTTGTATTTAGTGACGATCGAATTTTATTTATTCAAGTTCTAATTACGTCAAACTCTCGGCACAAAACTACGGTTTTGGACAGACTCAAATAGAGACGAAACGCACTTATCAAAATCTAAAAAAGCCGCTGCTCTGTTGGGTTCAGTTCTTTCTGTGCCCTCTATAAAATGTAACCTTGGCGGTGGTAATCTTGCGTTAGAAAAGTTGAAGAGAAAGGCTGCCATCATCATAAAATCATGCCTCTAGGCAATTTTTAAATGATCCTGCTCAACAGGAAAGTCGAGCATTTTTGGAACCAAACTAAGCCAGTCAACAATTGTCAAAAATCCACTTTTTGACATCTTTGATATGAAAACTCACTACAACCAAACGGTCTCGTTTGCAAAGGAACTCTATGCGGTACCTTAAATGAACGACCTATTTATCTCTCAATAAGTCATCTCAAATTCCAGAAGTGCAATCTTGCCCGCATAAGAAGCTCAAACATTTCAGGCGAAAATAGAGTCTCTTTGCTTGACAATTAACTGAAAACAACTCATTTTCATATCAAAAGGCACGTTCGTGACCTTTGCTTGAGGCATCTTGGAAATGGTTTAATCTGTTTATTACGATAACGTTTGGTGGACATGGTTGCGTGACGTGAGCTGTGGGGTCATACTTCATATTAAGCTTAAGTCATGGGATGATACTATACTAACGACGATAAATATGAATTCAAAGTTAGGAAGGCCTTAAGTTTGAGAAAGAGGGAGATAACAACGTTTCAAATAGCATTCTCAGTTTAATACATGCCTCTACCCTCATTATGAGCTAGAAGGAATTCTTTCACAATAAAACCTTGACTCTGTAATATCTTAGTTTCTCTTTCGGATGGCGTTTACTTTGCTCAGTAGCCCTTTTACCATTAATTTTCTCCCATGAAGTGTTCTAAACAATTACGAAACCTTCTAAAGTAAGCGAAAAACTAAGTGTAATTTGCAAACATGATACTATCGACATGGCTGATCCTAGCAGTG